ACACTTGGTTCTTAGACAGCTGCTGCAGACAACACATGTGCTCTTCAAATCGCTTTGTTCAACGGGAACAACGTCTCAACCGGGAAGTCGTGATAACCATCGCCAACAACCAGAACCTGCGCACACGACGACAAGGAGTGGTTCAACTGCAGTCCCGCTAGACTAACGTTATCTAGCAGATGTCAAAGGTCCTGATCGCAGAAGGACTCGGCTACAACTTACTCAGCGTAAGCCAGCTCATGGCAAAGGGGGTTCACCTCGAAGCCGACAGCACCACTCAGGAGTTCAAACTGTACCACGGGAAGGGCGGACTTTACATCGGGAAGGCGGTTCTGAAGAACAACGTCTTCGTCCTCGACTTCGTCCCAGATCAAGGCACTGCTGACAGCGACGCGATAGTCAATTTCACCACTTGGACGCACCCGCCGGATCTCGACCCCGACTTCAGTCTCGGAGGCTTCTGGCACTCGTACACCATACCTGAAGCAGAACGAACAAGGGTGTTAGCGGTAATACAGCAGACAACAGCAGTAGTAGCAACATCGGCAGAAGCAGCAGCAACATCAGCAGAAGCAAAAGCAACAACATAGACAACAACACCAGCATCAATCGTCGGCCCTTCATCAGCACCACCTCCCATCAACGACTCCACACCAACTCCCGCTCAACAGCTGACTCTTGCTCCACGTGACGTCCACAGAAGCGCCAACATCACCGCAAGCTTCTATTCCAATTCCGACCTGTACACGCGATCACCTGGACATCGCGCTGATGAATCACTGTGGCATCAAAGGTTAGGACATCCTAGCAACACGACACTGAACAACACGATAAGAGCAGGAGTTCTCGACAAAGACTCACTACTCTTACCAGACGGCTGAGAACTTCAACGAGTCCGTGGAACCTGCTTTACCTGCCCTGAAGCCGACTTACCTCATCAACCGTTCGTCTCTCACCACAACCCGAGCGCGCCAGCATACACACCACTAGAGAAGGTCTACAGAGACATACTGTACGCCCGCGAAAGCGGACAAGGAGCTTAGAACTATGTGATAACGTTCATCGACGTCGCCACCAGATACGTTTGGCACCTCAACCTACCAAGCCGCGACATGGCCTTCAAAGCCTTCGTCGCATGGCTCCCAGTAGCAGAAAGGGAGTCCGGAGTGAAGCTAAAGAGTTTTCAGTCCGACGGGGGAGGAGAATATCAATCACAGAGGTTCAAGCAATACCTGGCGGAGAGAGGCATCAAGCGACTCATCTCCCTTCCTTACGCTCATCAACAGCAAGGCGTGGCAGAGAGGATAAATCGGACCCTCCAGAACACCATGCGCAAGCTGCTACGTGGCATGCGGCTACCCAGCAGTCAGTGGCCTGAGGCGATGGACCACGCTGTACTGCTGCACAACTTGCTTTCGTCGTCCTCACTCCCGAACAACGCATCACCGCATCTGGTGTGGACAGGAAAGCTGGGCAACACAAAAATGTTACGATTTTTTTGCTGCATGGTACAGTACCGACCCCACACTACACGAGCCGGCCGATTCTCATAACGAGCACAATGGGGTCTACACCTGGGCATCGAAAAACACTACAACGCGTGGAAAAACTCCGACGTCCACTCGAAAGAAACAGTAGCAGCACGTGCAGTTCTTTTCTACGAACGACTCACCCTCCAAACGTACCTGGACAACCTGACAGCAGAACGAGACCCCACGGGCGGCTTCCGTGGCAACCGAGCCTTTGCCTCGCCAGCAGATGAGGCTGACTGGGATGAGCAAAACGTGGACGGAGCATCGGAGGAAGCCAGACCTCTGCCCTACTGCTCAGTACCTGTTCCGATGGATGACGACAACCCTCGCGAGGTGTCAACGCCGAAGTCTACTATGACTTCGCCGACAACGGTTACGTTACACCCCAACCCGTCAACACCAATGTCTCAAAACGCATAGGCCCCAATTTCATACCTGATCCAGAAGCGGGTGATGAAGCAGTCTATCCCGAGGATCCAAGTCTCCCTTGACTCACACAGAGTGGGCTGCAGATTCTCGGACTCGTCACCTCCGTCCATGGAGCGTCGCCGCCGCGAGAGCCTACTACAGTTCAGCAGGCTCTAGGGGGGGAGCACAGGGAAAAATGGCTCGAAGCCATGGACAGGGAGTTAAAGGCTCTGGAAGACCGAAACACCTGGAAGATGGTCCCCATCGGAGCAGTTGCAACAAAACCATACTCACGGGAAAGTGGGTCTTCCGCGTGAAAACAAAGGCAGACGGAACAATCGACAAGTTTAAAGCACGATGGGTCGTGCACGGTTTCGACCAAGAGCACGGACAGGACTTAACCGAGACTTTCGCGCCGGTCAGTCGACATACCTCTCTGCGGATTCTCCTCGCAGTAGCCGCCATGAAGCGGAAGAAGCTCCGCCAAATCGACGTGGCCAATGCGTTCCTCTACGCTCCCGTCGATGCAGAGATTTTCGTCGAGCAGCCGCACGGATCCATCACTGACCCCAACCAAGTCTGTCAGCTACTGAAGTCGCTGTACGGCATCAAACAAGCCCCGCGACTGTGGCAACAGTACCTGCACGCCCAACTGATTTGCATCGGCTTCCAGCAACTGCCACACGATCAAGGGATGTACTGACTCACAAAGGCAGCAGGGTACATCCTGCTCATCGTCTATGTAGACGACCTACTCTACATAGGCTCCACCGACGACATCACCACCTGGTTTGAAGGGGAGCTGCAGCAGGATCTATCACTTACAGTTTCCTCCACCGTGACCCAATACCTGGGGCTCAACATACTCGACGGAGAGAACGCGATCTACCTCAGCGCCGAAAAATACGCTGACACCATCGCAAAACGCTTCGGAATAATGCCAGCCGCCATCTCCACGCCTTATCGCTACACCGCGGGAAATCACCAGGGAGAATCTAATCCGCTCGGACCTGCCGGCATACGCGACTACCAGCGAAAACTGGGATGCTTGCTTTTCGCAGCCGTCACCTGCCGACCGGACCTGTCATACTCAGCGAGCGAACTCGCTACCTATCTCAAAAGGCCTGAAGCAGAGCACATGGCAGAACTCGATCGCGCGCTTCACTACCTCGTCATCACACCGGCAGTCGGCCTAACCTACCACAAAACTGCAACCACGACTCCAAAACTGATCGGCTATGTGGATTCCGACCATGCAGGCGACTCCGACAACAGACGATCACGCACCGGCTACATCTACCGACTTGAGCCCGTCGGTCCTATCTCGTGGCAGTCGAGCAAGCAAGAGCTAATTGCTCTCTCTTCAGCTGAAGCAGAATACATTGCACTCTGCTCAGCCACCAAAGAAGGACTATACCTTCGCAAACTACTGGAAGAAGCAAAGCTGGCCCAGTTACCCAACTTCTCCCTCTTCTGCGACAACCAATCTGCAATTCGCATAGCAAACAAGAACGGGTTTGCGAACCGAACGAAGCACATCGCCTTGCGATACTTCTTCGTGAAAGACGAGATCGAGAAAGGAAGACTCGAGCTATCCTACTGCCCCACGTCCGAGATGGCAGCAGATTACTTGACCAAGAAACTCGGAAAGCAGAAGTTCGAGTACTGCATGCCGCTGACTGGACAAGGCCACGTCACCAGCAATGAAAGCAACGACACTCCAGAAGCGAAGGGGAGTGTTGGAAACATATAGTTCGCGCTTCTGATGTGTCGAGCACTATAACAACAAACGAAGCAGACTCACAGTGAAGCAACACCGAGTCAACCGAGCTACAGTGAAGCGGTTGACAAAAGGGACAATAGCAAGAAGTTGACGCGAAGGTCAAAGGTCAGTGACCTCTGACTCGACAAAAACACCACGACAGCAAGGACAAATAACTGACTTGCTATTGAGCAGTTACCCGAGTCGTCGCTGTATCGAACCGCATCAGCAGTTACAATTGCAGTTAGTGAAACCTTCCATATTCCCTGTAATCATATAAAAGCCCTGTATCTCTATGCTATAATCAACTTATCTTATTCTCACATACCAGTGCAAGGTGGTTCAACCAGTCTCATTAAGACGCTTCCGCTAATACATCATCATCCTGAGCCTTAGTCATTGAAACGATAATAAGGGCTTTCTCAGCCCAGCAAAAAGAATGATTGCTACCATACATGCTGGAAGGTCGAGTTCCGAATTCATACCTGCACAGATACGCCTGCCCAAACCGAAGGGCAGCACGTCAACATTCTGCCCTGTAACATCATGGGCAGATGGGCCAGAAAAACGGCTAGGATCAAACTCATGGGGGTTGGTCCAGACCGTTGGATTGTGGGCGAGACCCCATGCGTGGCTGGTGTATCCGCCTATAGCGACTCTGGCAGATTACAGGTGAGGGATGAGGAGCGGTACTGGGGGGTGGAGCCTCGGAGTTTCCTCAATCACTGCTTGAAGATAAAGCAAATTCTGAACTGAGAGAGATGCCTTTCCAACCAACGCCTTCCTTCCCATAAGATTTTCCTGCTGCTTCTTCCGACGCCGCTGCTTTTGTGGCGCCACCTTTCCCAGCACAGACTGGGTTCAATCGAACAACGCTAGTAGCAGCACGCTTCTCACTGTAACCAGCAAAAGAACAAGCAATGCTGTTATAGTTACCAGCAGAAGCATGGGACACAGTAGCAGCAGCTGTATGGAAAGAGAGTACAGGGACAGAGACTGGGACATGGAGAGGGACAGGGACAGAGGATCAGCAACAGCTGCAGCAACAGCTGCAGCAGCAGCAGGCAGCAGGCAGAAACGGTAACAGAAGCCTTAAAACGAGCAGGAGGAGGAGCAGCAGCGACCACAGGATTCGCCTTTAGAACCCTCCTCCTCCTCCTCCTCCTCCTCCTCCTCCTCCTCCTCATCACCACCACCATTCGGAGTGGCTTAGACAGCTAGTAACTCCATAACTCCAGTACCAGCTCAACCCCTCGTGCAGCAACCCTTGCAGCACAGCTTGCAGCACCCCTTGCATCTCATGCTCCTGAAGTAGAAACCACTGCCCCTGCCACTGCCTTCCTCTCCCTCACCACAATCCTCAGCAGTTTAGCCAGAGCCATGGTCAGCCCAAAATTTTCTGTCATGTCCACTCCTCCAGCTGCCCGCACATCTTCGGGCAGCTTGAAATCAAACCGCCGAACGAAATTTGCCAGCAGGCGGGCAGACAGATCCAGCCCCAGGTTTGTGCCAAGGCACCCGCGCCTGCCCAAACCGAAGGGCAGCAGGCTGAAATTTTGTCCGGTCACGTCAGGGGCAGCAGGGCCAAGGAACCGGGAGGGATCAAATTCGTGCGGGTTGATCCAAACCGTTGGATCATGGGAGAGAGCCCAGCCATTGATCTGAATCATGGTGTTGGGTGGGATGTGGTAACCACCTATAGTTACGCTGCCAGTTGTCAGGTGGGGAACTAGGAATGGGGCAACAGGGTGATGCCTAAGTGTTTCTTTTATGACAGCCTGCACATACGGCATTTCCGCTACTGGAAGGGAGACCGGAGGATCCGAACCTCCTACTGCAGCCACCCCAGTTTCCGCGGATGCCCTTGCTGACGTGGCATAAGCTTCATCCACCTCAGTGCGGAGCCTTTCCAGCAGGTCCGGATGCTGCGCCAGCTCAGCAAGCGCCCACTCCACGGTCTTGGCGGTGGTATCAGTCCCGGCCATCATCATATCAATCGCCAGCATCAGCATCTCGTCTTGGTTCATCTCATCCTCTCCATCCCCTTCAATCTCTAATAAAGTATCAGCAAGAGTGGTTTCTTCCACCAAAATCACGTTTTCTTCGTTTGAGGAACATTTCTTTTGCAGCAGGAGTTGGCGTCGCTCCGCGATGCACGCGCCCATGAGCCCGAACAGCTGCGGCGCGAGGCACAACGCGCGCGCGTACATGCGCAGCGGGTCCCAGTGGCTCAGCCACGGCACGTAATCCGCGAGATTGAATGCTCTCGTGAGAGAAAATCCCTCCTCTAGTATCGCAAACGCCACCTCTCCTTCCGTCGCCTCCGTTGGAGATAATAAGTTATTCTTATCAGTACGACATTCCACTTCAGCCGCTGCCGCATCTTCAGAACCGGTAGCTGGAGCTGCGGCCGCGTCAGCAGCGGCGTCGCGTCGAATCTCGCCGCCGCATTTCTCGCCGCTCATTGCGGCGATGCGCGCGTTCCAATCGATGCGCATCGCGGCGTCGAGAAGCGCCTTCGGCGTGGCGCTCGCTGCGCCGCGAATCGACGAATAGCCGAAGCGCTTCCCGACGGTCATGCGCATAATATTGTTGAGCGTCGGGCGACTTAAATACCTTCGCCACTTCTATGATTTCTACTAAGTAGCAGCAACCGTTTTAGTCACATCCGAAGTATTAGTTATTGCGTCAGCAGCGATCGCATCGAGCATGTCACGAACCTCCTCCTCTCGCACGAGAAGGCTCTCCTGCAGTTTCTTCGCAGACAGAAGGTGAAGCGTCGCCAGCCGTCGCAACTTTCGCCAACGGTCGTTGGGCTGCGAAAACACTATATTTTTCCCGCCGAGAGAGAAAATCTCCAATGTGCGAATCATTGGGCGGGATGAGCAGAGCTTGTCATTCGTTTTAAGCACCTCACGAGCCAGCTCCGGCGACGAAATCACCACTGACGGCGAGGAACCGAACCAAACGGTCAGGATCGGACCGTACCCGTCGGCCAGCTTTGCTAGGGAGCGGAATGGAAGCGTTCCTAGGTCCGGGAGGTTACCGAGGATAGGCCGGGGGGGAGGGAGCGACGGCGGCGGAGGAAGGAGAGCCAGGAAGTGGAAACGAGAACCGCGACTGCTGCGATAAAGGCTGCGACGAGGCCTGACGCTACGCGGAAGTCTCCGCCTGATGCCGTCGCGTTGGGGAAAAGATGCTGGGCGGTGTTGATCTCGCTGGTGAACCAGCCCGTCCCAGGAAACGAATTCCCAGCCGCCATGGTGACTGAGGATTTCTGGCAACAAGCGTTCTGAAAACGCAGAAAGGGCAAAAGCCGGAGACTATCAGCAGAACCTCCCCAGTACGTGCGGAGATGGGAAGGGAATGCTGAGAACCGAGAGGGAACAAGGTTTGTGCATGCGGAATAACTGCAGTGTTGTATGAACTCTGTTTCTGCTCAAAACCCTACTCAAACGTAGAGAATTAAAAATAAGCCGCTCTAACACATACAGAAACGCACTTCACCGCAATAAAGCGAGCTCGCTCAAGCTAGGACTGTGGGAAGACAGATTCGCTGGGACTCATGCGCGCACATTTTATGCGGTTTCCTGAAGCGTTTTGATTCGCTAGCGCGGCTGCCTGCAGGTTCAAGACTGGGCGATACACTTAACCGTTTTCGCACGCAATGAAGAGGCGACCGGTTTCGCACGCAAGGCCGTTTCGTTCGCAAGCAAGCCTGGCTTGGCGACAAAACGAACGCGATCGTTACAGGTGAGCGAAAACTTGCGGAAGCTCTTGGGTGTGTCGTGAAGTGATGTGTCCGTTTTTGCCGATGTAAGGAAAATTCATTTTCCTACTTCGCGTCCCTGCTTACCGCGTACATGACCGTTCCCGCCATCGGCACCCATCCGTGAAACGTTACCCGCTCGCGACATTCGCATCGGCCACGACTCCCCCCACTGTTCACGATGCGACCCAACCTAACGGTTCGGTTGGTAACCCGCGCTCCGGACCTCCGCCTCGACAACTTCCCAAACCTCAGCGCTAGGCCCGTAGCGCACCCCAATTTCCCGCATTACAGTTACCATGCTAGCTTCGCTATATAACTTCGCTCATGCTTTTCGCTCAACTGTATTGTTTTGCTTCGATAGTGCAATTCTCGCTCGCTCACTCAATTGCACACGTAACACTTGGTATTCAGAGCCTACGATCTCCTCTCGGACCGCGCCCACACTTTCGTTCCCTCATTATCTCAAATTTGGGGGGGGGTAGACGTCTCTCAGCGAACAAGCACCGCCGGTCGAAGTGCTCTCTCGTAAGCATGCACGGCCACGATAGAGGCTCTCGTTGAGCTTGCCCAACACCCCCGCCATGGCCGAAATCAATCTTGCGACATTGACGCAGGAGCAACTCGACCGTCTCGTGCGCCAACTCCAAGATTCGGCGCTCGAAATCGCGACACTCACGGCGGAACGTGACTCCGCCCGCCAGCAATCAACAGTGAATGCACCAGCACCATCACAAGCACCCGCAAATGCACCTGCGCAATCAGAAGAACCGATCGTCATCTCATCACGCACACCGACGCAACACGACAGCGTGGGACAGCGCTCAGGCGCAGCCAGTGATGGCGCTGCTCAATCGATGCCTGGCATGGAGAGAAATAGGGCCGCACCAAGCTCGCGTGGGCCTCGCGAAGCTCGTCGGCACGTGAAATTTGCAACAAGTGGCAGCCACGACATCATGGCACCAATGCCACTCAAGCCCGCCCTGTTTCGATCCGAGCCAACGTGGAGGTCCGACGGTTCAATCGTGGGTCTTAATGATGAACGTTTTCTTCGACGCGAATTACGTCGAGTCGGACGCAGCGAAGATTCGCTACGCTGTTTCGCTGCTGAGGGGCCCCGCCATGGACTGGTGGCGAGTCATCGTGACGTCGCCACGCGCCTACGAGCCACTGTCGCAAGAGGAAGAGCCCACGGGCCCAGCCGTCACCTGGAGTTCATTTTGCGAAACCGCCCAGTACAGCACGTGGGATGCGTGGTGCGCAGGGCTTCGAGCGCGCTTCGAGCCGATCGTGGCTTCTATTTCGGCGCGTCAGAGACTGCGTACTTGGCGGCAACTCGGGTCAGTTCAAGATTACACGAGCGGTTTTCTCGCATTATGCGAGCAAGTCGGCTACATGCACGAAGCGGAACGGGTGGACCGTTACGTCGGAGGGCTGAAGTCGGACATCTCGCACGAAATCATGCTGCGCGGGCTCTCGAATTTTAACGAGATCCTCGCGCTCGCCGAGAAAATCTACATTTCACGCCGTCCGAGACCGGGGTCCTATTACGGACATCGCCCTAGGGGACCGATCGAGCACGCCACCGTACACGCCGTTGCGGCGAATGCAGCTGCCGCGCCGTTTAAGGGGCGCTGCTTTGCTTGCAACAGGCCAGGCCATCGCAAAAGCGAGTGCCCAGAGGAGCTAAGGCGCCGCGGAGCAGAGCAGGGGAGGGAGTCTCAGAGGCAGGGAAACGCCAGCAGTCAGTAGAAGTTGGGCCAACTACTGACGAGACTGCCTGCTCGCCCAACCTCACCGACCCTCACCGAGTCACAGTACCGATTCACGCTATCGATCGGGCTCGGGTGAATAAGGAGGGTACAGCGACGGATTGCCCAGTACTGATTCACGGGAAAATACAGGGAGCAGCAGTGAAGATTTTTATTGACGGAGGAGCAAGTCACAGCTTAGTTAATACCGCAACCGCACGGAAGCTGCAGCTGACACTTAGTCGGTGTTTACCGGAGATAGATGCACGCTTAGTCGACGGCACGCCGCTGGCCATACGGGAGAAGGTGGAAAGAGTAAAAATCCGCTGCGGGGGGGACTTTGGGTTTACACAGGAAATGCTCGCGACGACAGTGGATGGGCATGACATATTACTGGGACGTGACTGGCTGCGACGGTATAACCCGCGAATCGACTGGACGACAGGTAGCTGCACTGTGCGAAGTAGCGGCAACTGGGTTGTGCTACCTCGCTGGCAGTCGCCCGAGTCTTCAACGGTCCACGCCAACGCCATCACGATGAAACGGGCTGTCGCCGCTGGAGCTGACGTGTACGCAATGGATATAGCGTTGGTAGGAGAAGCAGAGCAGCCGAGCGATTTTTAGAAACTGTTGGCAGCGGTACCGCCCGAACTACAGGAACTGTTGAAACGGTACCCGGGGATTTTTCCAGACGATTTACCAGAGGGCTGCCACCTCAGCGGGCACATGACCACCGAATAGAGTTAGAACCGGGGGCACAGCCAACTGTACAGTGAAAATTCCGACTGACACAGCCAGAGCTCGATGAACTGAGGAAGCAGTTAGATTACCTGTTAGAGAAAAAAATCATCCGATCGAGCTCGTCACCGTTCGCCGCACCGATACTATTCACACCGAAAAAAGACGGGGGTTTTCGCATGTGTATCGACTACAGAGCACTGAACAGGGTAACAATCAAGTCGCGATACCCCATTCCCCGCGCCGACGAACTGATAGATCAACTGCGAACAGCACGGGTCTTTTCGAAAATTGACTTACGCGGAGGTTACCACCAAATTCGGGTCGAACCATCGGACTGCGTATGGGTCATTCGAGTACACCGTGATGCCATTCGGGCTGACCAACGCATCGGCGACATTTCAGATGACCATGAACGAGGCCTTTAGGCCGCTCTTAGATAAATTCGTGATAGTTTACCTCGACGACATCCTAGTTTACAGTCGCGATAAGCAGCAGCACTTAGCAGATCTGGAAGCAGTATTTAAAGTTTTAGACGAGCACAGACTACTGACCAAGGGTTCCAAGTGCGAGTTCTTCCAGGATAGGTTAGAGTTTTTGGGGCACGTTATTTCGGAGGCTGGGGTTGAGATCGACCCAAAAAAGCTGGATACGGTAAAAGCATGGCACCCCCCGACGAACATCACGGAGCTGCAGAGTTTTTTAGGGTTCGTTAATTATGTGTGTCGGTTCGTCCCCGACATGGCACGGTTAACTGCCCCACAGACAGATTTACTGCGGAAGGGGGTCGCTTTTACGTGGGGGGAGAAAGAGCATGCTGCCTTCTCTGCCCTGAAAAATGTTCTCTGTTCACCGCCCGTACTGCGCATCGCCGAACCACACCACCCATTCGAAGTAGTTACAGACGCAAGCGACATCGCCATTGGAGCCGTACTGCTACAGGATTTTGGCAACGGTTTACAGCCCATCGCATACGAGTCACGAAAACTGCATCCGCCCGAGAAGAATTACCCGATACACGACCGCGAAATGCTCGCGATCGTGCTGTCAAAGTTATATGCTATAGTCTGTGTAGGCTGTAGTGGGGTAGTTCATATAGGGTACAACACTTCTAGGTTTCCTACTTGTACCCAACTGCTTGCTCAATCAATCACTCCTTCCTAAAATAAATAAATAAATATTAAAACAAAAAAAGAGGAGCCCTAGGTGCTGCTGCCCTAGGAGCTACTACTGCTGCTACAGCTGTTACTGCTGCTACTGCTGCTACTGGCGGTGGCCAGATGCAGCTCCAGCGACGTCCGCGCGAGTCCCTCACGCCCCA